ATTAAGATTCACACATGGTTGTAAAAGTCACATTAAACATTGTTTTGTTAGGAGCTTTTCCAGCTCCAGTGGGACAGGGGAATGACCCAAACACCCAGAGTTACTGTGGGGCCAACGCAGAGAGTGATGGATTCAACGGGTGTACCCTCATGTTGCTTCACGGCGTCGCAATTAAGCATCGGAAAAGTCCAATATTGGACAATTGGATCTAATCTAACACTTTTCACTGTATGTGATATTTCTTGCCAAGACTTTAGTGATCCTGTGACTCTACAGGAAGTCAAGGGTCTCAGCATGTTAGAATAATTTTCATTCTATTATTTTCAAGTTGTTGGATTTTTATTAATCCAATTTAGAATTGGAAATAAGTTGTTCAAATGAGTTTAACTTAGGACACTCCTTTTTGACCATCATCTGACTGAGGCTGTAATTGTATCAGCAGGTTTACAAGTTGTGCTGAGTCTTTTATTGTGTCGGCGTAGATTTCTGTTAGGATGTTATTTATTTTAGTGTGTGCCTTTCTGATTTTAATATCATGCTGTATGTGAGGAGTCTAATAGGACCAATTCATTTGCGTAAAAAACAGCTAAAGAAACAGAATAAGATGAAATAAACCATGGGACTTCGCATGATATTTCAGATGTTTGTAAGTTAGCTTCTCTTTGTTCGAAAGATAAGTAATCATTGTTTAATGTGTTACTTTGGAAATGTTAGCATGCAAAGATTAAAGAAAGAAAGCCAACAATCTCTAATTGAACATTTGTATGAACACATTGTCACTTTGATATCAACATTTAGCTCAAAGCATCGCTTGACCGAGACTTGATACCGACAGACATTGAGTGTCCTGGAGACAAATTTTATTTGGTACCCAGAATATAATGACTAACTTTTTTTATTGTAAGAGATGTATCCTGCTAACGATGCTAAACTTGAGTTAAGTTTAGTTTGATGTCTTCTGTATATGGAGGGACTACTGTTTTTCACCTCAATTTCTGAAGTAGTGTCTTGTCCGATCTAAGAAGGTCAGAGCAGAGCCTCCTTTCTTTCTTCTCCCTCATTTTGTATCCTTTCAGACCCAAGGGCCGCTTTGAGTAATAGTAATTGGCACATTGATCTAATAGGGCCATCATAATAGGCCTGTTACTGAGCTGGGGAATGGTGCTCGGCGTCACCTTAACATGTGCAAGGACTGACATCCCGCCATGATCCATAATGATAATTGTGATTTAGCCTTGCTTTCAACCTACGCCCCAACGTCCCCAGCATGAGGAAATCTTATTACATCTGACCCTGCATAGCCTCCATTAGAACTGGGTCATTTGTTAAAATACTGCAAAAGCAAAACAATTGAACCCTATGCCATTTTATTCTTTCAAAGCACGTTATCATTGTCCCTTTGAATCAATTCCAGGGGCCCATTTTTCGGGATAGAGCTTAGAATTGGATTGATCGGACTCTGATAATGCCGAAATCGATGATGCAGCCGCCTAAAAGTAAATTATCGTCGGGTAAAATTTTAGTATAAATCTTAATGCCTGTAGTCCTGATCAGTAATGGTAGTCTCGCTTGCACTGTGAAGACCTTTGAAATGTTTGTTTCCCATCAGGACGGTAAAACGAATCAAGGATTCTTCAGAACTTTTTTGTAGCACCTATTTAATCTTCTGCAGCAAGCTTCCACTTGGGCTGGAGGCGGGGACATAATCGCACACTAACATTTAACAGGGTCTGACTCACGTACACACACACACACACACACACACACACACACACACACACACCAAGAACCAAGAACATTTGCAGTCCTGGGACAATATCATAATTCTGGGCCTGGGCTAAGAGATCTGAAGGCTCTCATGGCGCCGAAGCTGTCCAGCCGCTGGCTTGAGAGACATACAATTACCACACTAGTGTGTATCTGTACTTTGAAATGTCTGTATGTGTGTGCACATGCGGTACACTCACTCCCAAAGGTTTTTGTGCACATATCCGTCATCAAGATGGTCATCGGGATATTGTTGTTTCAGTTTTTTTCACCTTGCATCTTTGGGCGTGTTTTCCTGCCTTTGTCTGGGTTTAAAAAAATGAATTGTGTGTCAGAGAAATGCCTCTGATGTAAACTTTATGCATTTATAATAAAAGGTAATGGCTTTATCCCGGGTTGATCCGGTCCGGTTTGTGCAGCCCACAGTCAAATAGTCCTGCTTTGACTTAAAGTAGCAGAATTTGGACCAGCTTTGCTCATGTTTATAGGGTTGAAGCCAATGTGTGTGTGGGGGGGAATTGCAGTTCCTCAACCAGCATCACCTGATGCTGGTTCTAAAAGCCCCGGAAATCACATACACACTTGTGCTAAATAGGCCCATTTTGAAAGTAGAAGTGTTGCCTACCCCCTGGTTCAAAAAGGATTTTGGTTGAACAGTTAATGTCTTAATTGTCATTTATTGATTTTATGAAGGATAAGAGTTAATAATTAGGGGTGTGACTGATTTGACTGTAAGCGTTACCCTGAACGCTTAAAGGCTCACATCAGCTTCACCTCTTTGCCTCTTTCTTGTTTGAAGGACAGTAAGGTTGAGACAGCATTTCCAATATGGCAGCCATTCTCGTTGGGCTTCAAATCTCGTCTCCAGTAACCAATGGGTGTGACATCACCATGTTTTCTCTCTATCTTAACTGAGAGGTCATCTCTAGCATTATCAACCAGTTTTAGTTCAGGCTTTACCACTAAGGCTAGTAATTAGCCAACACATACAGCAACATTTTCCACAGGCAGAGTTTTAAAGACGCTAACACTGTTTGCCATTTGCTGTCATATTCCAATAAAGACTAGGCTCCTAAGACATGGAAAACACTTCCCAAATACACAAAGAACATGTCAAGACACCATGGAAACATGGACTGAAGAGGGGTGAAAGGAAGGGGAAGAAAAAGTTGGAAAGACAGGCTGGTTTCTCTATCACTGGCTCCATTAGGAGCTTCCTCCATTGGAACACTTTCTGTAGGGTGCGTTTTGACTGACAAAAGCGATGTGTCAAAAACGTAAATTCCCTTTTTCTTTTTAGTGGACCTACTGCGGTGGACTGCACCCCTAACTACTCTACTTGCGATAAAGTGCTAGAAAGTTGATATTTTGATGAAAAGGTCCTCATTGCCAGAGTTTGACCTCCTGTTTCACGATCGCTGTTTTGCATACTCAGGTCTCAACAGTGCCAGATAGTTCACACAGCTCATCTTTGGACAACGATGTTACATATAGGCACAGCATAAAAACATGCGCTATGACATTACCAACGAGTTATCAAAATTGACGGTGTAATTCGTCTGCAACTGATTTTTTGTCATTATTTTTGTTGTTGAGTAATTGTTGCCGCCCTACTCTGTTCTTTTTGGGATCTTCTGAAATGGCTCATTTTTGCTGCTGTTTACCATTTGTGCTTTGTGAGTGGCATGTGTGAGAGTTTCCACCATGAGTAAGAAAAGGAATATCACTAATGATAGGGCACACAGACCGACCATGACACAGTACAGTCTATTAAAAGAACACTGAGTCATTGAGGGGGAAGATTCAACATGGCCGATGTCATCTGTGTTTGGATGGATTGTGGATAAAGTCTTCCCATTATGATCTCGTCATTTGAATAATACCCAGATTTACCTTGGTGACTTGGCAGAAGCTTGCTGCTGTTTGATGTCGATAGTTCCTGATTGTGACTTGCCCTTGCTCCTGTCTGGAGGAAGGGAATTTCTGATCTGCCCTCTCATCTTTTAAATTCTCAATACATCCAGTGCTTGCGTGCAGGTGTTTTTTTGTTCTGATACAATGAACAATGTGTTCCTTTTTTTATTTTTACGCACTTCATTTATCATCCATAATTTTGCGTCATCATGTTTACAGGCACTATTAAGCATACATTGACCTTCCTTGTAAACGTTAAGACCTGGCCAGTGCCTCCTGTGTCTAAAAACCGTCCAGGCTGACACTGATGAAGCTGCACTCCGTATGCACAAGCAGACCTAATAGACTGTTGAAAGCATTTATTCCTATGGCTCAGGAAACAAAACTAACACTGCATCTCACCCCTGTATCCTCAGCCAACGCGGCACCACAGGCCTCGCCAGGGGTGACGAAGAATAAAGGGCGAGTGGAAGCTTTCCTCTCAGAGCGAGGGGAAGGGGCACAGGGGACGGGGCTTGATTAAGATTTATGTCTACATTTTCCTTTACCAGCAGCCGCTGCCTGCTGTTGGATAAGCTCCCTCATGAAACCCTCTTCTTTGCTGTGTTGATAGAAAGGCTTCTTGTAAATGTGTTGCATGACAAAGCTTTTTCCCCTTTTGCCCCTCACTTTCACCATGAGGACCCACAGTGGGACATGCTGGAAACAAATACTGAATGATTTCTCTAAGGATTTTAAAGAGAAGCATTCGGGCGATGGTCTAAGCAGAAATTTGACTTCTTTATCTACAATCTCTCTGTGAATACTCTGCTTTATAAGGCGACTTTGAGTGCTTTGAAAGGAGCCTTGAAATGAAATCTATCTATTATTATTATTTGTTATAAAACCTTTATTTGTTTTTGTATGGTCATAATGGTTATTTAACCCCTATAGTGAACACATCAAAACAGCCAGAGGAACTGTGTTTCTTTCATAAAAACATTTGCACTTGATCTGAGCATTCGAAAATACTTCATGAATTGCCATCACAATAAAAACATGTGGACCTGCAGATTATTATTTTTGCAGACTTGTAAGGGTTTAGCTAAACAGGGTGATACATTGCTCTCAAATGAGGAGAATTCAAAGAAAAGCAGCAGTCTAACATTTTGCAATCCTTTGTTTTGAGGCAAATTTGAACTTGTTCTTAATATCTTCATTTTCGGATTTGATTTACTGCTTCAGTAATATTTTTCAGAGAATGTCTTTTTAAATGTCTGCATCTTTCCCTGAAGTATGACGGGGAGACTGACTTTATGTATTTGTTCTTCTCTTTTCAGGACGAGCCCACCTTACTGTTGTGCTGACCTGTACTCTCTCAGGACAGGAGAAATGGTCAAATCCATTCAGTTCAAGACGCCCATCTATGACCTCCACTGCAACAAACAGTAAGTCTACTGAACTCATCTACAAATTAAAAAAATACACATCACGTGTTAATTTTCTTGAAACGAACGCACTACTTCCTCCCTGTTTTCAAGTATCCTGGCTGTGAGCCTACAAGAGAAGATCGCAGCGTTTGACAGCTGCACCTTCACCAAGAAGTTCTTCGTTACTAGTAAGTTGTTAATGATACACGTTGCAGTCTGATGTGTTGTGACAACCTTCCTTTGTGACCATTAAATTATTTTTTAGTCATATTTTTAATCACTCGGGAGTTTCTGCTTAAAAACAGAAACTGAAAATAATAGATCAATCCTAAAAGACTGAAACAGGAAAGACAATAATAAAATAATTACAACATCAAATAGAAGTGAATACAGAAAGAAATAATAGAATTTGTAGGAATGAATCAATTAAAATCAAGCAAAATGTAAAAAAGAACAAAACATGCAAATGTTGACTAAAGCTATAAAATTACTACAAATTAAAAGCCAGATAAAAAAGTATTACCTAGAACAGAGGTTCCCAAACTTTTTAGCTTTCGACCCCCAAAATAACGGTGGCTGAAATTGAACTATATTGTGTATCTGTATTTACAATAATTGATAAAATATACAATTTCAAATGATCCTAAATATGTATTAGCTGGAAGACAGCTTATTCTAGGTTCAAGCACAAAGATACTCAGAAACAGAATAAAAATCTCATTAACAAATTACTATACATGATTAGAATTAGATTAAGGTCAACCATCTAGAAACAAGAAGAACGTCCTGTCATTAATAAACACAGGAGAGAAGAAACATCTTGCCAGATATATCAAAAACATTTCTTGGCTTTATTGGAGATTTTTCACTTTCTTTAGATTTGACTTTTTGCTGTGAACTGGCTTTACATGAGCCAAACAAAAACAGAGCAGGACGTTGGTTTGAATGCATTCATCCACTGTGCTGCAGCTCTTTTCTCTCAGTCCTTTGTAAACTGCTTTTATGAAAACACGATGTGAGGCCTCCTTTTGAAGCTCAACATTCAAACTGTTTACAACACAGCTCCTGAATCCTCCTGGCTCTACCTGCCGTGATCGGCTCAAAGAAAGGCCAGACCGTATTACAAGGCCATTGCTGTCCACTTAAGTCATTGACTGGAGTAAACTGACCTTACTGGCCGCCTTTAATGTGTCTCCTCTTTGTCTGCCGGCCTTCCCTATCAGTGTCTGGTCCACAGGAAGCCAAACATGTTCAATAGTTATTAATCGCTTCTGAATGCAAGGGCCTTCTCGACAGTGTTGTTTGGTCTGTTTGGGCCTTCAAAGCAGTAAACTGAAGTGATGTGTGCAACTTTCCGATGAGCCATTCTACCTCTGTGTGTCCGTTTCCTCTCCACAGATGTGATGGTGGACATGTCATGTTTTTTTTTTTACGAGCACTTAAGGCTCGTTCCATCTTTATGTTCTTTCATTGCATTCAAGTGGTGTGTGCTGTGAGTCTGAACTCAGTCACGAGGAGCAAAATAGACTGAGAATCTGTTTCTGTACACGTGAAAAATAGATGCTAATATTTCCTCTGTTACAAAACTGGCAAAAAAAGTGGCAGCACTTTTGGGCTACAACGTCTTACAATGAACTGTTTCCCACACACAGACGAAACCTGGGCGGGCCCGCCAAGTAAATTTGTGGCAGCCCGAGTATATTGCCAACTATTTTTCTTTTCTTCATCCGTATAAGATCTCCATCAGTGAACAAGGGACTACAGTAGTGGGCAGACGCACATGCTCTGCAGGTGATCAGAAAATATGACAGATGTCTTCATGTACGTCCCCCCCTGTCAATGCAGTGATTCAGGTGCAAAGTCTCATGAGAAATATGCACCTTCTCATACTTCTTTTATAATAGTTTTGGGTAGTTCTTTCCTGTCAGTCTGTGCTCTTAGTTTTAAATCATTTCAATGTAATTAGCATGACTAGCCACACCTGGGGTGATAGAGGAAGATCGAGTGAACATTTTAAAACTTACAAAAAACGAATTCAGTAGATACCTTCTTCAAGACAGGAACCAAAGAAAATACTGGAGCACCTAAATCACTTAAGGAAAATTAAATAAATGTGCAAAGGATTAATGATTCGAAGTTAAACTGTCACAGGTACAGATTTGAAAAAGTGGAATACACTCCTGCTCACAGTGAATCATCACTCATTGGCTAATGAAAGTGGGAGGAAAGATGGGAGTATACCGGAAATGTGACAGCTCTCATGTGTAGCCCAATCATATTAAACCCCATCCTAAATGTGATAATATTTACAATATATACAAAGTATTTACAAGACGACAACTACGACAATATGAACAACATTACAGGAAACATGAGAGGCATGAACATTTTATAACTTGAGTTGTGTTGTTTGGGCGTCTTAATAAAACATACTGCTGATGAGAAGAAGCCTAAAGTTTAAACATCAGACACATACAGGCCTAGAGAAACGGTGTGTGTGTGTGTGTGTGTGTGTGTGTGTGTGTGTGTGTGTGTGTGTGTGTGTGTGTGTGTGTGTGTGTGTGTGTGTGTGTGTGTGTGTGTGTGTGTGTGTGTGTGTGTGTGTGTGTGTGTGTGTGTGTGTCTGTCTGTCTGTCTGTCTGTCTGTCTGTCTGTCTGTCTGTCTGTCTGTCTGTCTGTCTGTCTGTCTGTCTGTCTGTCTGTCTGTCTGTCTGTCTGTCTGTCTTCGTATAAACGAAGCTAGAATATTCTAATGTACTATACATTTAGCAATATATTTCATTAGCTGTACTAGCCGAGTAGCATAAATAACATTAGATTGTCTTTATAACTATTGGACACTTTAAATAAATTTTCTAAAGGGAGTAACAGATTGTGAGGGAGTCTTTCTGTGTTCGGCCTTTAAAACTCCAGCACTGCTTTCTATTCCTTTGATTCCTCCTTTTATGTCTGTTTCCTCTCCGCGCTCGCCCCCCCCCCCCCCCTTCCCCCCCATTCTCACCCTCCCTGCTCTCCACCCAAGATGTCAAACACATGTTATCTCACTGCCTGGGCTCCCCTCGGCCTTGGAGAGGCACAAAAGGCTTCTCTGCCGTTACCGGCAGCCCTTGTGGCTTACCTCAACCCCCCCCCCTCATCTTCTCTCCCCACCAGTCTCCTCTTCCCAACACAGCACACTAAATTACTGTCTCCACCTCATCTGCTCCCTGAACACTAAATTATTGTCAGCCAGTCATTTCCCCTACACCTCCACACACTTACATCAGATCCGTGTATGTGTTTGTGTTCATTATTGGTTCAGTGTTTTGTTGCTTGTATGTTTTTGCACTATGGAAACATCTTGACTGTCACTGTGTGCATCTGTTTGCATTTAGAGATCTTTAAAACAATATCCATCTTTTCATGTCTGATTTAGTGTCACAGGAGAATTGAGAGACACCGAACAAGAACAATACAAGATTTAAAAGTCAGGAAAGAAGTTACAGAATTTGAAAAGTATGGAAAAAAATAATGAGTTTGGATATTTTTCCCCTCTAGTCCCCCTGAAAACATATATAACATTACAAATAACCACATTTTAAGCTTGTCTGAAACAATATGAGACATGAAGCGATGATGTTATCAGAAATGCAGAAAGAGAAACTCTTTTAAAGATCGCATTCATCGTCCTTTCGGTGGACAAAAAAAGTACTGAAAAAAATATTAATCTTCTTGAAATTAAAATTTTGATTTGATCCATGAACGAGACTATATCTTGTGAAGAGAATAAAAATATTTTTTCTTTATGAAATAAATGTGTTAAAGAAGCAATATGTAACTCTGACACCAAGCGTTTAAAATTAGTGCTGCAGTCCAGATTCAAAACATTGTAGAGAGCTGTCTCCCCCCCCCCCTCCTCTCTAGAGTCAAAGCTCACACAGGTCACATGTGGTGGACACTGAAGCTTCAGTGTTTATCCAGCTCTGCATGGGTCTGTAAACCTTTCTGTGTTCTAACCTCTCTCCATTTTTCAAAAGCATCTCCAATATTGATTCTAGTTTGAGCACGTTTCTGCTCGTGGAGCTTATTAGAAACATGCAGAGGCTTTTTAGGTCGGGTACAATCACTTCTATCTGAACCACTTCTCTTGGCTTCTTCCATTGCTGCAACGCCTGTTAGCAAACCGAGGGGCATCCAAAACGGCTTATCGAGGGTGCATTGAAACCGCCTACCTTCTCCGGTCCAAACAAATCCAGAGCATTCAGGACCTGAATCTAAACTTAGAAGGAGGACATACTGGCTGCTGCATTGTTGTCAGAGGAGCCAGCACTTCAACAGCATGTTTCCTTAATGTCTGATCATATAATATAAATATAGATATAGACTAAGTGATAACCAAAAGAAACCCGGGGTATGCCCCCTGCTTCCAAACATAGTATGTAGTCTGCATGCAACAAACCTATTTCTCTTACATATTTAGATTTTTTGTCTATAAAAGTGTCAAATTAGAAATAGTTGAAATGTGTCGGTCCAGAGTTAGAGCTCAGGTCTGGTTTGTCATTGGAGTTCATGTGTTTGTTTTCTGGGGGACAAACACACTCTTTTTTAATATTTATCTGTTTGTGAAAGCACAGCCTTTTTGTGTTATGCAGGATTATTGGTTTCCATTTTTATTTCTGCTTAGGGCCTAGCGGTTTTGTTTGTGTGTCATTGTCTACATGTGTGCTACTCTGTGTGTATCCCCCGCAGGGATTATTGTGCTGGTCAATCAGCAGAGGAGCCTTCCTCAATTTATTGGGTACCACAGTCTCCATTAGGTCATAGTGTGCACACACACAAACGCACAGACACGTCACCCTCATTAGACTCCCATTTATCTTCCCAAACAAGAGGCTCCCCACAAACACATTAATGGTTTAAGATAGTTTGAGACGCTCCTCAGAGACCACACTTATGGAAATCTGTGGTGTGTCTGTTTTTCTTTCCTTTTTTCATTTTGGTTCCTAATGTTACTGAAGGAATAATTATGTTCCTTCTTTCTTTCTTTCTTTCTTTCTTTCTTTCTTTCTTTCTTTCTTTCACTCTTTCTTTCTCGTCTTTCGGTTTCTTTCGCTCTGTCTTTATTTCTTTTTCTTCCTTTTTCTTTATTTCTCTCTTTAACTACTTCTTTCTTTTTTCTTTCACTCTTTTATCTTTTTCTTTAACTCTTCCTTTCCCTTTTTTCGGTTTTCTTTAGCCTTTTCTTTCGCTCTCATTATTTCTTTCTTTCTTTCTTTCTATCTTTCTTTTTCTTTAACTTTTTGGTTTTTATCTTTCTCTATTTCATTTGTTTGTTTGTTTCTTCCTTTCTTTTGTTCTTTATTCATCTTTCTTTCCCTCTTTTTCTATTTATTTCGCTCTTTTTTTCCTTTGCTCTTTCTTCACTCCTTTTGTTTTTCCTGTTTTTTTCATTCCTCTTTTCCCTTTTCATTTTGCTTCAGCTCTACAGCCCTGGCACTAGATTTCACTTACAAATATGAAATTCGGTTTATGTATAATATATAAAGAGTTTAGGGTCAAAACACAAAAAAAGCCTTGCAGAAAGTCTGCAGTTTGACTTTTTATTTTACTTCCAAGTGCTTTTTGTAGGTCAAACTTGACTGAAGTCAGAACTTTATCTTACTCCCTTTGAAACTTAGACTTTGTTTGTGAAATTTACATTGCTGTCTACGCTTGATATACAAAATAATAATTCTTTAAAAAGTGTTTTTTTTTCCAACGGGTGGCAACAGGAAGTGACATATAACTCTGTTTAGTAGCGACACTTGGTGAATTTTACGGGCCGGGGCGCCGGTTGGCCAAGAGTTTAGGTTGCGCCCCATGTGCAGAGTCCATAGGCCGGGGTTCAAGACCGACCTGTGGCTTCTTTCCCGCATGTCGTTCCCCACTCTCTCTCTCTCTCTCTCTCTCTCTCTCTCTCTCTCTCTCTCTCTCTCTCTCTCTCTCTCTCTCTCTCTCTCTCTCTCTCTCTTCTGATTTCTGTTCATCTCCACTGTCCTATGAAATAAAGGGATAAAAGCCCCCCCCTAAAAATGATATAAAATAAGGGCCTTGTTTATTCCTCTGTCTCCAGTAACGACACTGTTGATGCATCTCAACCTGACGTGCATGTTTGGGGGTCATGCAATTCTTTTTGCTACTTTAATTTCAATTATTATTATTGATGCCAGTTAATGTGACCACCTCTGTGTCATTTCAGGCTGCTATCCTTGCCCTGGCCCCAGCCTCAATCCAATCGCTCTGGGAAGCCGCTGGCTGGCCTATGCTGAGAACAAGGTACTCCACACACACACACACACACACACACACACACACACACACACACACACACACACACACACACTTTTCCATTGCAGAAGTGCCTTATCAGAAAAGCGACATATTTACAATCCAAAAAATGCATTTTATCTATTTTCTGCCTCTTTAATCTGTCTGGATAAACAACTCATTCCTAGAAGAGTCCGGCAGAGATGATAACATTTTGACAATCAACAGATGCACCAGAGTTTTCTCTTCTCCTCTGTTTAATGGGATTGTTAAGTATTTACCAAAAAAAACAGAATGTTCTGCAATACATTTAATGCACAATAGTGTTTTGGTGCTGGCCCACTCACATAATTGACAGATGGGGCCACTGTTTGTGTGACTGGCTGAGGATTTCCAGAAACCACTAAATCTATTTTTTTTAGCTGTAAGAGTAATACTGGGACGGAGCCATTCAAGTGGTTGTATTTGAAATTAAATCAGAGCCGATTGGCTGTTTGCTTTTGTAATGTTTCTTTTAAAGTAAAACTAATTTCCTCCAAAGGCTGAAGAGACGAGGCGCCTGGATATCTGAAATCTCAGTTAATTTCCCACAATTTCTGTCTTGTTTTTAAAGACATCCTCTTTAGACCTAGACTTCGTGTCTTTATGGACTTATCAGTACATCTTTATGTTTTGCAGTTGATCAGATGTCACCAGTCTCGTGGAGGAGCTTGTGGTGACAATGCCCAGTCCTATACGGCTACAGTGATCAATGCTGCCAAAGTACGTGGAAGTACAAACACAAATATACATGTCTGTCTTACTTTATGTTTTCTGTCTCTCTCTCTTCCTGTAGCCCTTTTTTTCTTTCTTTCTTTCTTTCTTTCTTTCTTTCTTTCTTTCTTTCTTTCCGTCTGTCTGTCTGTCTCTTTCTTTCTTTTCTTTTTTTCTCTGTTTATCTGTTTTCTACATTTAAGGACTCAACATAAATAACCTACAGGTGAAACATTTTCATGAACATCTTATCTTTAGATAGGTGATATAATACCAGATATATTGCACTTTGAATACAATCTAATACATTTTTAAAAATATATTTAAACTATATTGTTCCATTACATGGGCTTTAATTTACATTTTTTTATTTTCTGTTTATGTGTGGTGATAGTTTGTGTGCTATACAGAAAGGAATGAAAAATACAAAAATATTTCTTATATTTAAATTTTACATTCAAATAAGCCATTATTCAAGGTGTTTGGTACTAAAATAGCCTTAAAATGAGTGAAGTGAATATGTCAGTAATGATTTATTGCTATTACATTAAAAAAAGAAGAAGAATTCCTCCTTTAAGAAAGCATCTTCTAATCATTGAAAGTTACTTTTTCTGACAGCAACTCAAGGGTTTGACTTATAGTTGAGCAGTTAACGTTTATACTCAATCAAGACCTACTTTATTTCCAGTGTCACACAGTGAAGTAGCTGTCCCACAGAGAGGTCCATTCATCAATGCTCAGTGCAAATGATGGGACACTGGATAATTCCTGGATGATTGCAGCATGTTATGTTTATATTGGGCGATTACAAAGTACTCACATGGTGAGACGTCAGGCTGAGGTGGGCTGCACAAGAACAAATGTCCCAACCTGAAGGGGGTTTCTGTGCTATGCTCAATGGCACACCTTCCTGTAATGTTGTAGTCAAGACCACACTCACCGAGACCAAGACATACCCGAGACCAGAGTGCTCCTAGACCGAGACAAGACCAAGACCAAGGCAGGGCGAGACTGAGAAAAAGACCAAGATCATAAATATTACAGAAAATCTTTTTTTTTTTAAATCCAAAAAAAACTGACCTAGACTGTTACAGTGGGAAGGTTATTGCCGTAACCAGGGGATAAAAATCTAATTATGAATGAATGTAAGTTATTTGTTCTTTGAGAAAGGGGTGTTTTCCTTCTGATAACAGTAATGAGATGAAAAATAGCCTATCAGTGGTGGTCTTGACCAGTCTTGATTAAAAATCCAGAGTCTGCCCAGTCTGAGACTGACACAAGACAGAGTAAAGATGCTTTTGATTTGAAAAGTGGTCTCGAGACCGGTCTTGAGACTAAGACCAATTTCAAGTACTACAACACTACCTTCAGCTACATGTCCCAATTTTCCTATTTTGGTATGCACAAGGGCTTGAATTGGAAACACTCTGGTTCCCAACCCAAGTCCCTTCGGACTTTTGTAAGACACAAAAAAGAAAAAAAAATACGATTATATCAGTGGTTGACAAACATCTCCCATGAATTACATTTCAGTCTTTGATAATGGAGTCTGGTGGCTAATTCTCCTTAAACTGCAGCACACGTGTCCAAGCTTGTTAACATGAAACTCTTCCATAATATTTTTTTAACCTGATATCACGTGGATAAAATGTGGAGAGATGTCGAGGGAGTGATGACGACAAGCTTCAGTACTACACGTCCTGACCAAAGAGCCCACAGTTCTTTTTATTCTTAACATATTCTCAGTCACATCTCACTGCCGTTTGTTCTCTCATGAAAAAAAAAAAATGCTTTAATCTTAAAAAAAAGAAAAGAAAATGAGGTATCATGTTTAGGCTGTGGCTATAATCTGTCGAAACGTCCTTTGGTCTGTCTGAAGGCCTTTTACACAGATAAAACAGCACATAATAAAGTGCTTCCAGCTCGGCCTGTACACCATCTGTAAATGTGCTGACATTGTATCCACCTGGCCCGCCCGGCTGACTCGGGCCGAGCTTATGAGACACTTCATCAACCTGCCTATCTGATTTTTCCCCACTTTAATCCACCATTTCTCTCCAGTGGTTTAGTTTCACTCGTCTCTATAGGGGAGTGACTTTAAGATGTTTCAGTAACAGCCAGCAGCTCCCTTTGATACCAGGTCTATATTCATTCCTGGTTCGATTTAGCTGCTTGCCAACACATGCCTACTAGCCTCATATGTCTCTAGTCTGTTTTCTCCATTAGATCCCAGAGGAAGCGCTAATTGATTTATAAAGAGTAAGAGTATCTCGCCTCCTTTACATCATGAGTGCTAAAAGCCAGTGTGAGAGAAGTCTCATTAGCAGGCCAGTGTTGGTATACATCAAAATGAGCGCTGTGTTGCTAACAGGTTAGCAGATAATGGCAGGGGGTACTGATAGGCAGACATGCAGTCTGGTTGCACGCCCTCTCCTCATTTAGGACCATATATCTCAATATGGATGACAAGGTATCTCCTCTGGCTTGTGGCGCGACACGCTGGCTCTTAGTGCTGACGTCCAGAGACATGGGAACACAAAAGGGGGGGGTGGTCTGCATTAAAATGTAATGGCTTTTGTTTATAATAAGGATAAAAGAGAGAGAGAGATCGAGAGGGGGGTCAGCTTTGGCCAATGAGACTGCCTGTTCAGAATTTGACTCTGTTATAGTAAATTTCACATCAGTCCTGCTGCGTATCACCCCAGCGTGTACAATTGAGAACGACCATGCTCATAAATTAGGCTGTAATTTGTTTAGATGGCGACAGCAGCTGTGTGTGTGTGTGTGTGTGTGTGTGTGTGTGTGTGTGTGTGTGTGTTTTTGTCATCCATCAGACATGATCTGCCTCTAAACCCCCTCCTCCAGCACCGACAGATCAATAGCTCCTGTTTGGACTACCACTAAGAACTCCACAACTGCAGTGATTAGAAAACACATTAGTGTTGATCAATTAGGAGCCAAACGCCTCACTTAATAATTGATGGCTCTTCTGGCACGCACACACACACACACACACACACACACACACACACACACACACACACACACGCAGGCGTCCACAAGAGCACGCAGGCAGCAGACACTGTTAGTGTGCCGGGCCAAGTGGCAAAGAGACAGTGGGTGATCCTCAGACCCAACAAACGCGAGGCGCCACGCTGTATTGACAGGGCCGCCTAGTCTGAATGCCTGATTAGGCTCTCCGGGGCCCCTTTGGCGCTTACACACACACAGACACACAATCACACGCACTGGACTCCATTAGCCAAAGACAGTGTAGTAGGTGAGATAGACTCCACTTAAGCAGCACTATCCATTTCCCTCAATCGAGCCACAGAGGTGTGTTTGAGCCAGACACCCTGGCTGGGCCTTAAGCGGACACTGAGGAGCCTCACACAGACACACACGCACACAGACACACACACACACACACACACACACACACACACACACACACACACACACACACACGAGGGTGTCTCCTGTGGTTACAGTGCTACAAGTCATCAGCACTACAAGTTATCAGCAGGCATCAAGTGAGCATGCTGCATGCACACACACCCATGGAGACAAGGTATTGCACATGCGCACATACATTTAGTTCATATGCAGTGCCTTCAAAGGCTCTGAGGGCCTGGAAACCTAAATCCATTATAGCCCCCCATCTATATCATATAGGGTCTTACTGTATGTACAAAGTACTAACTCCGACAGCAAAGCACTTTGTAATGCATCATTCTGCACTGCAGGGATTCTGCTTTCTTGTTTCAGTCAGATTTAGACCAATCAGAATTAAAGTGCTGTGAAATGGAGATGTCATTCAAAAAAGGATGCATTAAAATATTGGCTAAGGCTTCATCGTCTTGATAATTGTTTAGCCAACAAAAAAAAAAAAAATTGTGTGACCGTTTATTTTATACGTCCGAGTATGCTTCTCAAGCACAAATGCATATCTTTGTTCCATGTTCTCCCAGACTCTTAAGACTGGCCTGACGATGGTGGGTAAAGTTGTCACCCAGTTGGCGGGCACTCTGCCAGCAGCCACTCCAGACGAGGAGGGAACGCCTCACAGCGCCAGCCGCCGGAGCCCCCACAACCCCGGAGTGGTCACCATCATTGACACACACAGTGTTGGAGAAGGACAGGTTAGTGTCTGCTTTAAAGTGTTAGGAGTCATTGGAAGTCACAGATGCAACAACCCCATTTTATTTTTAGCTGTGAATTGTAAGAATGTAAAGTAGCAACAGCATAGCGGTCTGTCAATCATTTTCATATTGACCATACAGTGTTGAGGTTAAATTATCTAAAGAAGTCTCCTTCTATCAAAAACACAAGTGATTTAAACTTTTTTACACATACAAAGCACATAAAAAGCAGTTTCTCCCTTCAAAGTTAAAGGGGTTTTCTAGATGCTCCAAGGAAAATATTGTTGCCTTTTTATGGCTGCAGCATTGGTGAAGAGCCCAAGACAAATTACTCACTTTGTGGGACAAATACAGTGAATGTTGACTCTTGAACCTTGAATCCTCAGTGGGGCTTCAGGGTCTGAGAGCCAATCTGATGCTAAACTTTTAGTGGGATAGGTTGTTAAGATCCATCATCCAATGAAAAGAAAATGAAAAGATGCATGACTCTGTGAGAAATCTTTCCAATGTGGACTTAATTTGTGTTTCTTTTTATCAAGTAGAGTAAAATAAAGGGAATTGGTCAAACTTTGAAACCAGAAAAGAAAAGGTTGACTGACTTCTGTTGGCTGATACAGTACTGTATGAGGCAGGGCCTTGAACAAGTGTCACTCGAGACATGACCAGGATTGTACATAAATAATACTGCATGACTTTCCATGAGATATCAGTGATTTTATGAAGCGTTATGTGTAATGAAGAGTTGTTAAAAGTAAGCACTAGAAGTTTCTGCATGGATATCAGTCAGTTTTAGTATCCTCCCTCAGGGATAAGTAAGGTTTAACCGTTCAGTTTGACTCTCACTCTTGAATTTTCAGACAAAACAGATTAGGTTTGTGTTCACTTGAACCCCTCTCCTCCCTGCCTCCTAGCAAACCTTCAGACTAAAGCTAGTGAAAACTCACTTAACCAGAAAGTATTCCACTTTACCAGGTGTTAGCTTTCTTTTCACGTCTTTTCAATGTTTACATTTCCTCCAAACTGGGCCTGGCCATACGCATAATGAATTCACAGACACACAGTGTAGATTAAATTGGCACTGATGTGTTCCTGGCTCTCTTCCTCTCTGGGCTGTCCTCTGTAAACCAGGTAAACATATCTTTGGCTTCTGCGGCTTGTTGGGAAATGGGAAAACCTCCACGGTTGGCTTTTTTTTTTCTCTCTTCGAGGCTTGGACACACTCGGGCCCATTCACCTCTTTTTTTTTTTTTTACACGAGTCAGTGAGAGGTGCGACTAAGATTTTCTGCATATTTAAAGAGCCAAGCTTTCAGCCGCAGCTCTGTCTGTTTTAGGTGTAGCCGTGGTAGGTGAGAAGCTCTGTAAACAGTCAGCTGTTGGTCTGGAACCTCACATGAAGCTCAAGGCTGCACCGCATGTCAAATAAGGCCTTAACGTTCAATTTAGACTTTTTATGGGAGGTTATGAACGAGTGAAGAGTTTCCAGCCATTTTTTTTTATTGGACACTTTTGTTTTACAATAAAACAAAAAGCTGCCTAAAAAGCATTTGAGCTCTTGCTGACTACCTTTTGCATAATGAACCTAGCAATGATTTAAGAATATACGTTTTTGGATATAACCCTTAACTACAATATTCTAGACAGACGCACATAGGTACAAATACACAGGAAGTATAGTTACCTGTATATACAGTCCATTCAGTCCTGATTATGATTTGAAGCATACCAGTTTCCTTCAACAGGATCTCCCCTTAACGTCGAAAGAAAAGCTAAACGTTTTTATCCCCTTAATTCTCCTCAGCCACTGCACTCCGTGATTAATCACAGAGCAGTAGCTGTCACATTTTTAATGAGGCATGTTAGCATACACGGTACAGTTTGGCAGTGATGAAGTCACCCCACACACACACACACACACACACACACACACACACACACACACACACACACACACACACACACACACACACACACTTCCTTCTCTCTTACACGGTGACTTTAGCCGCCCTGCAGTTAGTGTGTGTTGTCTTATAAGCTGGACCTAAGCCTTCAGAAGCAGGACTGCACTCTGTCACCGGCCGACACACTGTAACCGTACACTGGCTGTAAACACTCACTAGGCCAGCCAGGCGGGGGAGCTAGGAGTGGAGGAGAAATGGGGAAAAGAAGAGAAAAAGTGGGAGGGAGTGAATAGCGATGAGGGTCGAGGTGTGATTTTTGGAGATATAGGAAAAAGATAGTGATACAGAAGAGGTGAGTTTCTGTGTCAGTCCAGGATATTCCCGTCTCTTCCAGTCTTTGAAATTCCTTATTTGGTACAACAGCCTTATACACACACACACACACCACACACACTCTCTCCTGTGTAATGGGCTCGGATCTCTGGAGGACACTTGTGTTTCAAAAGGCTCCAGCAGCAGGATTCTCTCACAGAACAACATAGTCTCCCTGCACCGTTATAAAAGTGATCTGCTTTATGTCACCAGCCCCATTCTTTCTTTCTTTCTCTCTGCTCTCCACCTTTTTTTCCTTCCCCCCCCCTGCTTGTTTTCTTGCTTGTAGTCCGAGCTGAAGCCCTTTAGCTTTTAGTGGCTGTTCCTTGTTTGGACTAGTTCCTTTTTAAAATGCTCAGCCAGCCTTCCTGACATCGTTAATGCAACACTGGGGCCAAATTTCACCCTGTGTATATGTCCCCTCTCTCTCTCTCTCTCTCTCTCTCTCTCTCTCTCTCTGTCTCTCTCTCTCTCGCACATGAAGTGGCCTCATGTCTGGGCTCATTTCTAATCTCTCTTCTTGACTAAAGGGGTTTTCTTCCAGCTCCTGGTCTCTGCTAGGCCCTCGTTAGTTTCCTCTTGACAACAGACTTCATAGACTTCATACAGAGATTTAGGAGCAGCTTTTAGTTGTGTAAAGTGACTTATAATTTCATTTTCTTAGGCGACTTTTAGAAGCAGCGAGCCGAAGATGGATTTGACGCCAGTTTCTGCCTGTTTACGGGAAATCCCGCTGTCATGGGGTATCGGCAAAGCCACATGTGAAAAGCCACATCATTGTTAAAGTAAATGTGTCCATATTCTTCTCTGTTTTGTTTTATCATTCCCTGTTCACACTGGTCTCAGGACAGACACAAGCACTTAGAAAAAATAGGTCAAATTTGATGAGTCATCATTTCTTTGATGCAACACAAAGAGGAGGATTTAAACAGAGTGTGTTTTGTCTTCTTCAGGTAATATGCTGATTACTTTCTATCCACAAGAGGGCAATAACACATTCAGAAAGCTCTTAAACTGTGGGCTGGTGTCAAAGAACAGTGCTGAGTGTGGTGATGATATCAGACCAGAAGAAAATGTGAAGAGAAATCCTTGAGATGGGGAAAGTCCCGTTCTGGGTTCAATGTTCTCATTGTTAGAAAATGATTTGAAGTTTCTTTCTTTCTTTCTTTCTGTGTGTGTGTGTGTGTGTGTGTGTGTGTGTGTGTGTGTGTGTGTGTGTGGTGTGGCGGCGGCTGTGTGTGTGTTTGTGTGTGTATATATACTCCAGGTCCTGGTGAGTGAGGACTCGGACGGAGAGGGAGTGGTGGCTCACTTCCCAGCTCATGACAAACCCATATCCTGCATGCAATTCAACCCCAGTGGTAAGACACACTCACAGACACTCACTCATGCACGCACACACATTTATTTTTTAAGGAGGGAGCTCGAGCCGGGTGAGTTTGGACGACATAGAAAGCAGGAGGGAGATCAAGCTTCCATTCAAGTGTAACATGGTGGTGTGTTTGGCTCACATGTGGCCACCTCATCTCATCTCTGAGGCAGAGCTGGACCAACCGGCTCCTACAAATGTATTCATAGACTCTGTGTGTGTGTGTCTGTGTGTGTGTGTGTGTGTATGTGTTCATTTCGTACACAACAAACGTGTTTAGCCAGACACATGCATTAACACCAACCTCAAGACATTGGCAGCATTAGACCAACACATGCAGGTCAGGCATTGTGTCACAAACAGTCAATGGGTAACATATGCACCCATTATTCACTCACAGGAGGATGCTCAATATGCATATACACAGTAAATTATTGCATATGCTGTCACACAATGTAGACATAGTTCTTAATTCAAGACTATTTTTCAACGGTTTATTTTCAATTCTTACTCTTTTTGAAAGTAAAGACCCTAGTGCTGGTCCTTACAGTTACAAAAAAGAATACATTCTTAATGCAAAGCCAGAGATATTTCCATCATCATTGCCCTTAAACCAATCACACGAAGGGATGCAGTGAATGTAACTTTGCAAAGAAAGGGTTGGAAGGAATCTTTGCAGCTGGGCAGGCAAGCCCATATAATATAGTCCCACAAAAGAAAACACCACCTCAAACATTAAAAGCAGTGCTGAAATTGGATTTAAAATTGTAATCGTGATAAATCATAGAAGAGGCTCATCGCATTCACTACTACGCATACAGAGGCGCCTATTACAGGACATTATGGATGCAAACACAGGACCAGTCATACCACTATGTTTTCACTTTGCACAATTTTAGCCTCATATTTCCAAACACAGCTTGGATACATACATAAGTGTATGTATAGCCTACCATTACTGTCTGATAATTAAAGACCATGAACAACTAACAAAAAAGAAGGTAGAGGTGGGAAATGATGTAAACATCGAGATTCTTATCCTCTGAGATTTTAAATGGATTCATAACTTCCAAAAATCTTTTTTTTTCAGTCACTCTCTGTTAAGTGTTAAGGCTAGCTATTTAACTCAGTAGGAAGCCAAATGGAGCAGCAAGAAATTCAGCCAGTCTCACAAATGACTGGAGTAGATCCTGAAGTACTAATTCAAAAATAGACTTTGAATCGATGAATCCAGAATTGTTTTGTATCAAAAATAGATTTTCAATTGAATCATGACCCCAAAAATCGAAATCGAATCGTGAGAATTCCAAAGATTTCCAGGCTTAAAAGAAAAAAATTCAATTTTCGATTGGGGTAAATGTTCACCGTCTGCTCAAGTGAAAGTTTTGAAGAAAAGGTTGCCTAATAATAATACATAAACTACATCTTCACTTGCTGTGAATTACCCATTGCAGAGGCTTGACATGCAAGATTTTAATCATACAGCATGTGAAGAGACGAACGTTTCATAACTCGTTAATGATGATCTTTTGTCTGTTTCTTTCATGGTAAAGAGAGACTGTAGTATTTTCAAGTTTGGGTTCATATTGAAGGTCGTATAAATACAGTTCATACAATCAAGCAAACCAGGCAAACAAATATGAAACTTATTTTAAAATATAGATCAGAGGCAGACAACCTCACGTGACAGGATCAATATCTTTTCAGACTTTAAACATGATCGTCTTTCTACATGTAAATAGCCTTCATCACATAGCAATACCAGGATATTAAACAGTCTCCTGTTTTACAAACAAACAATTATAGAATCATGTTAATTTAAAAATAAAATCTTATCTTTAAATCATTCCTTTACACATTATTCTACTCTGTCATCTCCTTCCCTGATTTCTTAGCATTGCTGACCTCCACCCCACAGAGAACAGGACAGTAGAAGCTTTGTAAGTGTGAATAGGCGACACTCGGTCCTGTTTCTCCTGAGCTTCTGTGTGTGTGTGAGTGTGTGTTGCGTGTGCATGTGCAGTTAATAAAGGAGCTGCTGAGAGATGGCTCTCACCTCATGACCTCCAAACCCCCCCTAAGAATCCTTCACTTACCTCGACTTATGACTGAACTCAGCAGCTCAGATTGAGCAGGACCGGGATGATATTGCAGACTAAGCCAGACAAGACAGAGTTGTCTGGATCCCCCCAACTCCCACTATCATCTCAACAGAGGTCACACATAAAACACATTAAAGCTAATGACACTAAAAAGATCTTCAAAGTAGGCTATGTCAAGGAAATATGACCCTCTGTATGATTTCTACAAGTGGTGTTCTTTGAGCAGGAAGCTGGCTTGTTGTCCATGACTAAATGAAACATCTGTTTATTAAAGAAGTAATCATAGAGCAAGAAAAAAAAACACTGCAGCGCTGCTCAGGCATGTTTCACATTAGGCTGCAGCAACACAGTACCTAGAGATACAACGTTTCACTTAGCTTGCATTTTACACACGCTTCGCAGCATAGAAACACTCCGGCACATTAATACACAGACACATTTAGGCACAGATATACAAGCTACTGCAGTCCAGCAAGGTAGCCGTGATGAACAGGTAAAGTTAGCAAGTGTGTCACCAGCATTAGTTAGCCAAAACACACATCCTAGCGCAAGACACCTATATGTTTCTGAAGAGGTGTTTTTCGAAACCTAACTCATGGAGTTGCCAAAATTGGAAAAGTTTTTTCCACCTAACTTTCAATCAGTCCAGAAACAGGAAAGAGTTAGTGTTAAGGCGGGTCTTAACCTTCTGCAACAAGCTAAAATGTCCCCACCATGTCGGTCCACTAAGCCACGCCCCTAGTTATACAATGCATAATTCTTGGCCTCAATATTATCAAATACGATGGCTTTAAACACAGAGCTATAGAGACAAAAACTATTTTTTAATGAACGAGAAAAAGGTCTATTTCTGCTGTAAAAAGTGACATTTTTAAAATCTGACCTAATGGAGATTTCTTGGCTTTTGCAGCCAACCTCAAGTGGACACTCCAGGAACTGCAGTTTTTTTGCATTACTACTTTGACTTCATTTTTCTCCAACAGAGGATGCTGTGTGCAAAATACCAAGTGAGAAATTGGTACTCAAAATACTTTGAATTTGGAAGGGACAATTTTATAACAACTGTATGGTACCCTTTGAACACCAATTAACAAACGGACAAAACACATTTTGGTGTCTGATAATGATACAGCCTCTAGGAGTGTTGTTTACAGTCTTACCAGTAATTTGAGACACCAGGATGGAGTTAATGAGATTCACCTGCATACAGACACCTTTTTTTAAAGTTTGATAAAAGAATAAATTGTTGACGGATGACCTCTGTTAGGTTCTGGTGTTGCAGTATGGCCAATGTGTTCTGCCTCTTTTGCTCTCCACACGGACTGTTCTCCTGTGTTCAGATAATGCCAGCTGTAATGATAGTGAGCGATTACTCAGACTACAAACGGAAATCACTTGGACAGCACTTTCCAAATCCAAAATTGTGCCATTGGCCGACAGATTTTGCCTTTAATTACAGAATCTTTAAAAAGACATAATTGTTAAAATCAAACATTAAACAAGCTCGCAGACGAAGACCAAAACATAACTTAAAGGAAATCCACAATTGATGCTACTCTTTTCAGATTTAGTAAAAGTCACTTTGCTGAAGAAGTCTCTGATCATTATGTGCTAATTTACAATCAGGTACTTTTTGAACCTTTTGTTTTCTTAAACATTCAAGCTTTATTTTCTACTTCCAACAAAGCACAATGCTGTACACGTGGCAGTGTCCTAGTACTGTAGTTTTTTGAGTCAGCAGCGCTGAAAGGATCCCCTGTGACCTATTCCACCGTCAGTTTCAAACTTCCAAACACACTTTAATCTTCATGACTCATTTAGCGTGAGCTGAATCTTAAGGGGTAATAAAAGTTTAAACTACAACTGAGAACAACGAGGAGCCAAAAAACACAGATTTTTCCTCCTTTTTTTCCACTGCAGTCAGGGCGTGAAATAAGATTAGGATGAATCTTCAAACAAGCAAAGAACGTTTTCTTTTCAGCTTCTCCTTTCATCATTGTTTATTCTCTTATTTTCCTTTCTTAGCGGCATGCTCTTGAGTGTCCTGTAGTTACAGACTCCTTGATTTGATCTGAACCCAAATTCTGATTGACGGGTTCATTGGCCTGGCTCTAAATAAACTCTTTCCGAGTAGTTGGGGGAAATATATTTTACTGCACTACCTCCCGGCCCTCCTGAGACTCCCCTCGCAGCGGTCAAGCTCAACATGGCAGAAACAAGAAAGATAGACTTAGCAGGAAACAATGATATGACTCAAACAGAGCCTGGAAAGCCCACAAGTCTTGGCTGGGAAGAGTTATGTAAGTTACCCCAGTGGCTTGTGTGTGTTGGACGCGCTACAGAGGGCGGATCGGTGGCCGCCAGTACTCGGTGTGGCGGCTGGCGCTGTGCGGAGCTTCGTGGATCTGTGGATCTATTCCTAGTGGTGTAATTAGAGGGACGCAGATGAAGTGCAGTGGGGAAGCGCTCTCTTTAACAGCTGCAATGTGTGTGTGCTTGTTTTCTTTCGCGTCTCGTCCTCTTCACTCGTCCTTAACGATCCTTGACTTGATTATTAGGTACGATGCCAAGGTCAAAATACACTCATCTTTTGATGGCAGAGATATTGTCCAACAACTTGTACATTTTCTTTTGACTCTCTCTGGCACTAGATGGAGTGATTGACCCAGCAACCATACGAGTCACCAGCGTCTGCTCTTTGTTCTCTCAAACCTCTTTTTTCTGCAGCCCTGCTCAGTGTTTACATGCTGTGCTGGAAGAAGAATTCTATCCTCAGACCTTCATTTAATGCTATGTTTAATTAAAGCGACATAAAAATAATCAAAAATATTTACTTAAGATACTTCAGAAGTATTCATTAAACACGATACCTTTAAGAAATATTTAATTT